ATTGATAATTCCATTTGGTTATAGGTTGGCTTTGCACTTCTAAGCTGTACATCCTTTGTCTTTATATGATTAACTCTGTGTTTTTGCGGCTCTATCACATGTATGAATTCTCTCCAAGTTGTCTATTCTATTCTATGTCACTCAACCTTTCGAAGAATTTCGCAAAAAAAAAGATGAAATAGGAAAAGCACATAGAAGATTGTCCTTTCATTTCAATCGCATCGAAGGCTCTATTTTATTTTATAATTGTTGAATATGACTTCGTATGCACTGCCTATAAGTGCGTGTAGGTACTGGAAATGTTGAATGCTATATGGAAATAAAATCTTTTTGAGTTAAGACAACGCCTGATAGCTTGTTTGTGACGATGAGCATCTGTTAGAATGCCCATGAACGTGGCGTTGTTGTCCGTCGGCGTAATCCTGAGCGTCGTTCGGCCGGTGCTCACCGGTGACGGTGAGCGATGCACTCCAGCCGAGGAGCGCAAGGTGAACCAGTGTTTGCAGGTCGGTGAGACGAAATGGAAGAATACTTTGAGGCTAACGATAAGAATAAAACAGGAAAACAAACAGATAATAACATTAGCTACTTAGAGCACTTCAATGTTGGCACACTTAGCCGTTAGCTTGTTTCTTTTCCAACTCAAATCAATCTTAATCTATGGTCAAATTGTCAAAATGACATTGCATTCATTAACGGAAAAGTGTTAAAGAAATATGAATGCAGTCTGGCTAATAGTGAACTTGAAGCAAAATTTTGCTCAATAATGAAGTCGTTTCACGATTATAACGAGAATGCGACAATGCAGAAAGCGAACGTTGTCGACTGACTTTTCCTTGCCAAAATCAATATCATAGCTAATAATATTGTCTGTGAGAAAGTTTAAAGCCTTATAGAGAATATTACGTCTCTTCATCCGTGCCATAGAGTAGGTTTCAATGTGGGGCGTGGGCCACTGATGAATCGGGCGACACGGCCAAAAGTACGAATGGCTCTGAAGTAACAACTTCGGAAGGCTTTAAACATTCTCACAGACAATACTGAATGTTTACAGCGAGGCTTGAATATTGTTATTCATGCTGCACTGAAAGATTCCAGTGAATGAAACCTAGAAACAACAGTCGCATTTGCCAATAAATAACTTTTCTCTGATTTTTGCCCGTTTTTATTATGCTAACACTTTCACAACGACGCCTAATATTTGTGATGTGCCCATGGGATGACGCCTATTTTGGTATATTGCGGACATACCGGGTTTCTGAAAATAGGCAATATTTCTTCGATAACTGGAAGAATTGATGGATTTCAAACATGAGAAAATTATAGATAAGCGTTTACTCTATCGCTGTATAGCCATCACTGTAATCTATGGTACAGATCACAATGCAAAATTATGTCACATAAACACTGCGGTAAAACATTGCGGTCAATGTGCGACAAATGTTTCTATTCTATTATTTTTTATAAACACAAATCGCATATGGTAGCTGTGATGAACTGTAGCAATTAGAATTGGGATTATAATGGATTACCATGTACAGGAACTGTCAATTTGAGTGTTTTTAACAGTGTTATTTGATCGACTTGATTGCCACAAAGAGTGGCTTGCGCGAAGCCTATCCCCACCCCAACACTATCCGGCAGTCAACAACGCCTTATGGAACGCCATACTCAGGCTGTCTCCGCGACTGCAAAGAGATTCGCTCAACTAGTATTCCAGAATGTCCAGACAGAGACAGAAGACGAAAAACGAATTGAATGCCAGAAGTACTGGACTTCGCTTAGTGAAGAAAGCTTACTTTGAAGACAGATTGAATAGTGATAAAAGTGAAAAAAGGGTATATGTGATGTAATAATTGTATATTTAAGAATATTGAGTGACATGCAAAACTTGAGATCTCAGGCGAGAGTTGAAGCAGAGATTCACCCATCCCGAGGCAGTGGAACTTCAACTGACCAACGTCCAGCTGAACATATCTATATAGAAAGCCAATGATTGATTCAGGATTTACTAGAAAAAATTTCTGTATAGATGTAATAATCGAAATTTCTATTCTTTTACTGCCTTTTCGCAGTGTCACGATGTTTCAAATATTCCTAAGAGAATTGAGTTGTGGGAAAAAATACGATCTTAAGCGAGAGTCGAGTCTTCGTTCTCCATATTGAAATTTTTAGAAACAATAGAAAGTTCTATTATAATTTATCAGAAAGGCTGTCAGCTCAACTGGGTTTACAAAGGAAATCGATACCCGACCAAACCTGTCAAAGGTTGGCATGTGACAGCTACCATAGAGATATTGAAAAACGAGTGGTGTTGCGACTGCACCTTGGTGGTGTAGTGGTAGCACGCGTTCCTGGTATGGATGAAACTCGGGTTCGACTCCCGTCTGAAGTTGTCATTTTGCTAAACTTTCAATCCTCTTAGGAATATCTGTGCAAATAATCAACCAACCAAAGACAAAACAACTTCTATAAGAGTCATGTGGGCCAGTGTTTATCCTCCTAGAGGAAGTTTTTCATTTCACAACTCTTATAGCAGTTTGATGATGTCATAACTGCAATATCAGCTTGATTATATCTAATGCCGATATGTGCTTATCACAAAAAACTCGCTGACGACGGGCTGCTAACAGTCTAAATGTTAATCGTATTTCGTGTTTTTCGTTTTCAACAGACACGAAGTTGTTATTAATATTTCATTAATATGGTTCATCTAATATACTACAGAAAATTCTTATAGCTGACGTCTCGGCGGTTTTGCCTCCTTCAGAGCCCGCAAATATTAAGTCGGTGAAAAATATTGAAGTACAGTCTAATACTCGGAGTTTCCAGCTGGTTCTTAACCGCTCATACCGTTTATGTACAACCAATAATGCTTAATATGCCCTAACGGAAAAGACATGAAAGACATGCATGAGTTCGAATTAAGCTTACCTAACCTATAGTAAGATATGCGCTAACCAATAAATTGGCGATACGGGAAGTCCATTCTGTAATCGTACAAATGAATACCTTATGGCAAACTTAAGACTAAGTCGAATACCCCACTAGACTCGATAGGACACATGCACATAACGGTAAAGATATTGACGTAGAAGTAACCGTCCTCGCACAGGGACATAAGGCTTCAAAGCGCAAAACTATCAAAAATTTCACGTCTATGCCAGAAGTTGAAAAATGAATCGCCAGTTTGAGCGCCTTGTGATCCCGCGTGATCTTATGAAATTTTCCAAATCATTTTTAATCCATGAGCAAGGTACATACCTCGCCCATGTGAGATCAAATTTCATCTGCTTTAGTTGAGAAAGTGGTTGTCTAGATAGATTACGCATCGATCTGGCTCTTCCAAGCTTCAAAGAAGGCGAAATCGCCAAAACGTCAGCCATTAGTTTTGTGTGTAGTGAGTAAACTGCATTTATAACAGCCTCGTGTCGTCTCGGAAAGAAAATACGAAATTCATTACTGAAGGCGAAATTAATCGATGAGCTGTTTTGAGATTTGTTCTGTTATTTATTTTTTCAAAGTCTTTTCAATGATCGGGTTTTAGAGGACCTAAATAATATAACTTTCCACGTTCATATATGAAACCATAGAATGAATATTAATCCTTCTCTCTCTCTGCAGCCAATGCTCGACTATGCTGCTAAGCTGCAGTCGGAAACATCCACATTGCAATTTCCACTACAAGGAAGCGATGTCTTCAAGAAACTCTGCTTAATTTTTACCACATTCAAGGTCAGTTTGGACTGTGTGCTCTTATCTCCCTGGTTATCCAAATACCATTCATTTCTCCCAGCGTCTAAAGCTTGCCAAGATCAAGGAGCCCCGGAAAGTTATTGTGCAGGTAATATATGAAGGACAAAGCTTCCAGCGTTGATCAGTCCCTGAGGGATGCGTCATGCATTCGTCTTCAATTTTTAACTTCGCTTGAGGTGATTGAATGCATATTTGGCCTCCACAATGACTCGATGTGGCCCCATGTACCCAGTCAGAGCTGTTTATCCTCCCGGACTAGTCTGTGATCCGTCTGTTAGCAATTTACCGACCCCGGAAGGATAGATGGCTTGACGAGCCTTGAGCGCGAGATCGAACCACTGACGTAATGTGCAACGCTGTGCACCTCTGACCACTGCACCGCAAGCGCCTCTCAGGTTATATATATATATATATTTATATATATTTATTTATTTATTTATATATTTATATATATTTATACATTATATTATATTATTATATATATTTATATATATTTATATATATATTTATATATTTATATTTATTTATATTTATATATATTTATATATTATATTTATATATTATATTTATATATATTTATATATACATATGTATATATAATGTTCAGTTATCTATACAGTGAGCACCAGAGTCGAATGGGATGAAAGTGTTCAAGAGATTAACAAACGCGAAGCTTGTTATTCTTTCTGATCATTTCCAAAATAAAATCGAATTTTGAGTTGATATTGTAAAGAAACGGGCAGATTATAGGGAAAAATATACGAAACTGTTGTAGTGTGTACCATGTGCTCAACTGTTCAGAATTTCTGAGTGGAAGGTTTTGCAGAGTTGTGTAGCTTCTATTAGTTGCGATTCGCTGTCGGTTGATGCCATCGATGCCAGCTACGGCTATATGTGCGGATCAGGGCAACCACTCTTCGAGCAGTACGCCGGCTGCTTTGCGAGGGTAATAATTGTTTAATATGTGCAGACGAATTGTAGGAGACACATCCTAAGTGTGAGATGTGATTGATTCTTTACTTGAGACTTCCACATCAATTGTTTTGAACATAGTTTATGCATTTTTTGACACGGCCCCGTTATTGTCTAGCTGAGATTGAAATTGCAATGAGATTTGATACAGTAGACCAAGGACGAAGTGGCCTCAGGCCATAGTCTATTAGTTAAATGTCAGCTATTAATGCGTTTATAAGTAATAATAGTTTCCAATACACCCAAGAGAACTAAGTGGTTAGCAAAATAGCGACCTCAGACGCAAGTCGAACCCGCGTTTCATCCATACCGAGGACGTGTGCTACCTACCACTACACCACCGAGATACATTTGCGCCATCGTCCATTCTTCAACATCTCTATATTAGCTATCAGCCACCAACCTCCAACAGGTTTGGTTGGGTATGCGATTTCACTTTATAAACCCAGTTGAGTTGACAGCCATTGTGATATATAATACATATGATTTTCAATGTTTTTGACAGCACCTTGCGCAGGTGTCTGTTACGGCTTGGTGGTTGATAGCTAACAAAGAGGTAGTGAAGAATGAGTGGTGGCACAAATGTACATGGGTGGTGTAGTGGCAGCACACATCCCCGGTATGGATGAAACGCTGGTTCTACCCCGGTCTGAGGTCGTATTTTTGCTCACCACTCAATTCTCTTAGGTGTATTGGAAACATCGTATCACTGTGAAAAATGTAGTCAAGGCTAGAAATTATAAGTAATGATAGTCTACAATAATGTCCCTAGTCGTTCATAAAAAAGTCTGTTAAATCGAATTTCGATTTACATTCAGTAGAATTCTGTTTTTTTCACCATCTGTAGTGGAACCTGCTTGAAGAGCTATGTAAATAGGTCGAGCTCGAAGATTCGTATATCAGCTGCAAAACGGCGGCAACTCAAGCAATCAATGAAGCACAAGAAACGAAGGTGAAATTAAATCTTTTCGGATTTCCGTTCTTACTTCTGCCTTTCATGAAATCTATGGCGAACATAGGTTAGAGTGTATTCAAATCAAACAAAAGAACTACCATTCCTATTTGGAGTCTTGAACCTTTCATGATATAATGTTTCTCTTTAGGCCCTGTCGAGATGTCTCCTGCTGTATAACGAGAAAAACTTTTACCGATGTAGACCTAGAAAGAACGGGACAGACTTTCAATAGAAAATCTAGTGTGTTTTCTAAGCGCACTGACAGCTTTCAGAAAGACGTCATTTTTCACAATTAGATCACTGTTCCCTTTCAAGGGAACCAACACTGGTCGGCCAGCTTTTAAGAAGTTGCAAAAACAAGATCTAACGAGTAGCAAGAAGCCTTTCTAAGAGGAGGCGCACACTGCCTGCCGGTTTGATTGAATTGGGTGATGCCGGAAAAAAAGGCTGAAAAGCCGTTCGCCCCGTCGGCCATGACACAATCAGGCAAAATTCAGTTGTGCGTCATCTCATTTTTCCAATGGACTGCTTCAATAACAGCCCCCACGTAGGCACTCACTCTTCACGGGGAGTTTAATACTGATATACTTGGGAGCAGATTTTCTCAAATTATAGAGTATTTCTTCTAAACTTCTAGAATAAGTCGTCGTAAGGAAACGAAGTATCAAACACTGCTATTATATTACATTAATGAAAATTCGAAGTGATACACGACGCGCAGTTTTCTGGACTTGATATCGGTTTTCTTTGACAATAACTGCTAAATTTCTAGGTTAATGATACTGACACTAGAACTTTAGGCTGAACAGAAAGTTCTGGGAAATTATGAAAATTTCGCTTTTTGATATTTTTGTGTCATTTTACATCGATAGTTTTGCATATGATTATTTATTGTAGTTCATTAATTTAGCTTCGAGATGCATGTTAAACAATATGAGTTGAGTGTGCTGCTCCGCCATTCGAGTAGAGAAGGCTTGACGACTCTAGAAGCCGTCAGTAAGACTAATGAGGGTGAAGGTACTGGTATAATGACAAAATCGATTGTGGGCAGATGGTTTTAGCGATATAAAGAATGCAATTTTGATTTCGAAGACATGTCTCGTTCTGGCCGGTCATCTGTTTCGGATGAAAGTGACTCTGGATGCTGAGCCTTCATTGAATACTTGTAATCTGGCTGAAGAGTTTGGTTCTTCGCAGCGGACCGTTGTCAATAAGTTGCACCAAATTGACTATGTGCACAAGAAGTCTCGCCGGGATCCGCCTGGCGTTCTAAATCTTATGAAGTGGCTATCAATGTTTTTTTTTTGTAATGTTGCGCATGAAAACGGAACCTTCGGAAGTTTCTCAGAACTTTTTGCTCAACACTAGTGTCATCACCTGTCAGTGCTACGTCTCCTTGATGTCTCGTACTCAACGTTTAGGACGCTATTGACTTATTCAACTACTGACAAGTTCTTAAATCAAAACTCTCTTTATCACGTTTTTCGTTAACTTTATGAAATTGAGGCTGTGGTTCAACATAATGTATCAAAGGATAAGGGATAAGGCTTTTGGCGTTGATCAATCCCTGAGGGATGCGTCATGCATTCGTCCTCAATTTTTAACCTCGTTTGAGGTGGTTGAATGGCAATATCTGGTCTTTACAGTGACTCGCGGTGGCCTTCCGCTGTAATGAGTCAATGCTGCTTATCCTCTCAGACAAGTCTGAAACCAGTCTGGTACCATTTCATCGACCCCGGAGGGATGGATGGCTTGATGAGCAATGAGAGCGAGATCGAACCAGCGACCTTGTGTGCGACGCAGAGCACCTCTAATCACTACGCCACATGCGCTCCACATGTTGTATATATCTATATAATGTAGTAATTTTTAAGTTTTTCAAAGTTTCATTAAGATGCGAATCTCTTACAGACACTTATTTCAGTTGTTAAATATCAAAGCAACAAGTAGTAGTTGACGTTTGCCGAGCAATGTAATCTCGACTTCGCTCATAAACGTTGTTGTTGTATTGAATCTGTTTATTTTTTCCAAAGAACATTTGCAGTTACAAATGTCCTCCACCGAGGCGTATTTGGCGGACATGTGTCGTGCAATGGACGGTTATCTGCGTTGTTCACATCCAGTGATTCTCGAGAAATGCGGAGCTGAAGCATGGAAATTGGTGTCGACGGTCGGTTCTCATTCTTATATTCATTTGAGTCGCGTCTTTTTGCGTAATCTAGACCGTCGCAATCTATAAAAATACTAATAATACCTTGTATCAATAAGAGCAAAATGCGCGGCTTACTTCACGCCGAAATATGGTTTGAACGCGACTGTGAATAGCAAATCAACGTATATTTGTTGGAAAATTACTATCTGCTCTGTCATTAAAGAAACCATTGACCCACGCCTTACCTTACAGATACTTCAGTGTCCATGGGCACCGTAATCATAGCCCTCAAAAATTAACTCAAGCTTCTTAAGCCATTTTTGGGCTTCTTTCCCATTTGTAAACCAAGGATTAAACGCCAATTCCATAATAATAGTTCCTGCGCCAAAACTGATTACTAAATCAGTATTGAAATCAATATAGCGATGTATTTTGAAGACGCAGAATGGGTCAACTCATAACACTGGACACTCGAATTTATATGGCTGCCACTTGAAACGACATCTAATTCCAAACGATTTTGGATAGCTCGTCCGCGGTTCAAATAATGTTAAATGAACAATGCTGGATCTTAGACAGTGGACGATAATCTGACGATAACTACAGCGCTTTAGGACTTGAGAAAATCAAACAATATGGTACAGCCTGCTTCATTTTTCGAAATGGTACATATTATTAGTTACTGCATTTCACCAAGGGACGTGAGTATCGCAGTGGTTAGAGATACTCTGCGATACACACAAAAGCGCGATCGATCGCAAGAACTCACTAAGCTACTCTTCACTTCATCGTCGGCTAACCGATACCTGACAAAGATATGGAGAAAATTCGGATCTTCAAATGAATTTCGAATCCGCAAACACCCTTCCCCGAGGGGGCTCTCGTTTTATCCACAACATCTTCTAAGGCCCTTGCTTGTTCCTTTTTCTCAACATGTTTTCAATAAACTGATTGCAAGAACAGTCACCTGATAATGGAAAATCTGCGAAGCACAAATCGTTATTTGGTTCGAATGAGCTGAAGCTGCAGTCAAAGCCACAAAGTTTTAATCACAATTTCCCACGTTCATTTACTTTCCAATAATTTTCAAACAGCAAGGTACAACGTAAAGTATAAACACAGGAGTACTGGGAAACAAGCAGGATGTGCAAGCTGGTAACTTCAAACCGCGAAAAGCTTTTTTCCTATTCTCCCTGAGGATTCTATGTTAGCGATCTCCTGGTTTTTCCTTATTCTTAGCCGTTCAAAACCACCTCTTCCATGTTATACTGTAATCTCAGTTTTCTTGTGTACATAATTCACATGGTTTCAGTTTTTCATTTACTACCTATGTTGTCAGAACATTTCTATGAGAAAGGCAAAGTCCTCTTCATATATATCTTCTGAATGCCGTAAATTTCTCTAGATCATAAGCCAAACAATTTCATCTGTCTGTGTGTTCGTAATCTCATCAATCATAAGGAAGCTGGCACTCTCGAGCTCTCTAATCGCCCTTATCTATAGCTAGAACTTTCCACTATTGAGTCTCGTCATTCGATGGAAAAAGAACACCGCATGGGACACTTGGTAGGACATCGAATATTATGAACACGATTACAGGTTTTTTCAGGTGACACGCGACAGTTTAGGAGTGACTATGCCTGACTGCGACATGCGATCGACGTTGATGTGAAGTCAAAGTTTATGAGAGGAACATAATTTTTTTTTGTCATTCGTCGTGTTTACTAGTTTTTCTTTTTTGTATTGGTAGATTTATAAAATCCAATTTGAGTGCACTTTTTTTATTGATGCTATAATATAGTTTTTTCTGTGACAAAAAATTGTCAAGTTGTGAAATACTCTAGACTTCGAAAGGCCTCCTTAGAAGTTTTCCATGCCTTTATTATATTGAGTTCAATGTAATCACCATGATTGTTTCTGAGTGATTAGATTTTTTTTGTTGAGGAGTTGTATTTTGGACAGGTTAGCACAATTTCGGAACCAATTTTGCTTTTTTTCTATAACAAGTTGAAAAAGGTATTTACTTCCCCACACTTGTAATGGCTACGATGACAAGCATGTTATCCACTGCGGACGATAAGGGTCATTTTAACCCTGAAAATTTCAAAGGTCTTTCTTCGTTGGAAAAAGTGTTTTATACAAAATTTAAGCAATTATTCGAAAACTTAGATTTCAGGAACTCGAGTACTTTTCTTGGTTTCAAAAAAGTGCTTTGTAGTACTCTGTAACAGCAAAAATAAAAGTATGTTTCACACTCGTTTTGCTTTATTTGCTCAGCTGAACTCTGTGGATCGCATTTCGTTAGATTGCACCAGGCTTATTTGATAGCCAAAATTTCGGCGAATTTGAGGCTTAACCTAATTTCCAAAAAGGTTTCTTTAGCGCATTGTGAGAGCGAAAATAAAATCGCGTTCCACATTCAGAGGTTTATCTGCACCTAGAAGTTATACATGCACAAAAAGTATACATACTTCTATAGAAAATCATGTTCTATCAAAGCGGTACGACGATTTTAAAGTATTCCCCGAAACAATGAAAAAAAATTTGTTGA